TACTTATATTATTTTCTTAGGAGTGTTCAAGACAAACCATACGGAAGTGTTGCGGCAACATTTTACTTACTAGCAGAAGCCGAGAGACATCGGAAACTTCATGTACAGTCACCACAGCATGTTGTGGCTCCCTGTCAGATCAGTGCTAGTGTGCTAGGAGGGGCAGGAGGAGGAGAGACTGCTAATACTTCACGGAAAATATCAGTCCCTACACAACCTCCACTTAATAACATGTAATGAATAAATGTGTACATACATGTATACATATACATTGTACTTGTGCTCATAAGATACAATGTACAACATTTACATGTACATAGTAATAGTAATAATGATAAATTAAGCTTGCATCTGTACAATGGGCTTTCCCACAAGGCTTTTGGAGCAACTTTTCAAATTTGTAAAAAAAAATCCAATTTTGATCAGAATCAGCTTAAAATTTCTACACAACATAAGTACATGTACATGTATATGCATCAGGATATGTAATTAAAATGGAGAATTCTCTCCTAGTCATTTTTTGGTGAAATTTGGCCAAAGTCCCTCTACTTTTACAGTACATCTAATTGTATACTATATCCCAACTGAGTTTGACACCAGCCGCTTGGAATTTGAAAAATGTAGAATACGTCACTGATGACGTCTTATAATGATATTCATAGAAGCATGGCCGACATTTTACAGCTGCGTAGTTGGCCTACATTGCACTCTTAAATGGGTTTTGTTTGTTCTGATAAGCAGTACAATAGCTGCTGGAGTCAACTAGTCTTTATACAGGCAATCATTATCAGAAGATCTTGCTCTGTTAGCTTTTTAAAAAGAAGAATTATCAATTTGGGCGATCGACCACTTGTTCTTATGTAAACTATGACGTAGATAAATTGTCATAAAACGTCATTTTGGTATGCCGTTGGGTTTATAGGGAGGACCCGGTTCTCAGGGTTCCCAAGGGCTGAGAGACCCAAGACCTGAGATCCTGTGATGGCATTGGGCGACTAAGAACCTGTGAAAGTTTCATCCTTATCCCACATTCCTATAAAAAGTTATTCCAGTTTTTCTTGGGTCAAACTCAGTTGGGATATTGTATACATACATGTACATGTATGCATTGTTATTATAATTACTTGTGTTTATTTATTTCAATAGTTTAAAGTTGAATCCAGCTGGAGGAAGTTATAAATCCCACGGTCATGCTGAGACTGGTGTCCTCCTCCCAAGACGACGGACAACACCAGAAGAACCAGTGACCAGTAAAGCTCGTTCATCTTCCTCCCCCACCCACTTAACAAAGAGTCCATACCAGAACCCTAACTATACCAGCCCCAGGTAAAGGGTACATGTAGTACATGTGGTCTCTTCTTTTTTGTTTGTAAACATGAATTCTTAGTTTTATAAATAATGTTACGCATGTACTAAATACACATGTACATGTACTTGTACAAAGTACATGTAGTTACACATGTACATTTATTTGAGCATTTAAACCAATAATGTACATGTACATCTGCATGTACCTGACTACCTGTACTTTGTAATTACATGTACGTGTACATGTATGTGTATGGTATTAAGTTTCTGTATCTCTGTCTTTTACATTGTTGCTACTTTTAAATTTTCCTTCTTCCCCCCCAGACTTGGCGTAGGAGGAGAGCAAGTCTCAAACACTAACACAAGGAAACCTTTATTCCCTATTCAAAGTGTTGCCGAGGACTCTACTGGACTATCAGAGACCGACAGTCAATCAACACTGGACCTACCACCTCCACCTCCAAGAATGAGACACTTATCAGCCTGTGAGGAGGAAGGTGAATCAGACGAGGTCATCGTTGATGGCATGAGGTCACAGTCCCCGCTACCAAGCCCACGGTCTCGCCGCCTCCTCTCCGCCCGTAGCTCCCCTAACCTAGCAAAGAGTGTTAGTCGGAGTGACTTCAGTGATGAAGAGGATGATGATGATATAATGGACCTGTCCACTGTCCCACGTTCCCATCCGACCCACCCCTCCCCTCTTGCCTCCCCTCACTTATCTTACTCTCGTCTCTCCCCTACTCACAGTCAAGGCTATAGCTCTGACGAGGAGTCACTCTCGCACACTCTCTTGTATGATGGACGTCGTAAACGCTCGAGCAAAAGGATCCGTTATAACAAGGCGCTCCATCCTCTTGTGAGGGTTGATAGTGCTAGCAGTGACGACGGCTCATTCAATGACAAACACTTGCGTCATAGTCTACCAAAATTTGGTAAAGATAAGCTCAGAAAGATGCTACCATATCGGAGCACTCCCTCCACTCCAGCCGAGGGGAGTGGCTCTGAAAGCTTCACTGATATGCTGGCAGTTCGTATGAGAAGCAGCAGTGGGGGTGGTAGGCCGAGATGCAACTCAGCCAGAACTGATAGTAGCTTGAGTGATACTAACGAATTGAGTTTTCAAATCCACGAAAGACTTGAACTTAGTGATGGGGAAGAACTAGATAAACCTGATGAGCCTGTTAGTGATGAT